ACCCACCGGCCCAGGGCTGGTGGTGAGTGGGATGCTGCAGTGCTCCGAGCTGGGTCCAGCCCAGGCAGGGACTGCGAGCCACGACCGCTTCGGCTGGCGTCTGGGCCCCATCTTTCATTCCAGAGCAGAGGAAACAGAAGCTTAAGAGGTTAAGTGATTGTCCAGAATCACTCGAAATGTTGAGAGCAGAAGCAGGGCGAGGACTCGAGGGCCCTCACTTTTCACCCCAGGTTCCTTCTGGTTCATGCAGCACGTGTGGTTTCCAAGGAAATCGGCCGATTCCCGCACGGGCAGAGGCGGCGGAGCACCAGCCACCGCGCAGCGGCCACAGGAAATGCACACTGCAGACAGGACCGCTGCAGAGGCGTAGGTAGCACAGCGGCGACAGAGGTGGCGTCAGACAGCGTGGGATTAATGGGTGCCCACGCAGCCTGGGCGTGGGGAGTGGAAAAGGGGCAGCCACTGGCAGAAGCAGTGGACAAGGACATTCCTGGGCAAGCTGTGTCCTCCAGGCTGAAGGGCACAGAAGTGTCAGGAGGAGGAAGATGCCGGGTTCTTGTGTGACACCCCGTGGGCCACAGGTGGAGCGTCACAGAAAGTGGGGACCTTCGAGGGAAAGGCCTCACGGCGTTCTTCACCTGCAGTTCCAGGCCTGAATCTGCTGTCCGAGCGGGCAGGTGCAAAAGCACACACTGTACCTCAGGTTGTAGTGACCGATTGGCATTAGGACCAATTTACATTAAGGATGGGTGACAACTTCCACAAGAGAAGTGGGATTTGGGGTTGGACTTTTGTAAGGACTAGTAATTAAGGCAGCAACATGATTGTGTTTCTCCACTGCTGCATTTATCCCATTTATCCATTCTTTTTTTTTTTTTAAGATTTATATGTATTTATTTTAAAGGCAGAGTTACAGAGAGGGGAGAGACATAGATCTACCATCTGCTAGTTTATTCCCCCAAATGGTTGTAATGGCAGGGGTTGGTTGGGCTAGGCCAAATCCAAGAGCCTGGAATGTGGGGAGCAAACCAGACTAGACTAAGTTACTGGAATTAAGACTTATTCTATGCATCTGCTCTCCCACAATATGGCGCTGGGAGAGGAGAAAACAGCTTCTACACAGCTGCCTCCAGTTCAGCCAATAAACTGTAGGACTTGCTCCTGATTGGAGAGCAGCGTACTCGGCGTGTGGGCAGCCGAGTTGGGATTGGCGGAGGAGGACTATAAAGGAGGAGAGAGACGGCATGCACGAGGAACATCTAAGGGGAACATCTAAGGGGAAACACCTGTGCAGCCCCCGAAGAGAGCCGGCCGGTGGTGTGCCGCTCCCCTGCGGAAGTGGGGAATGTGGCCAGGGGGAACTGCCCTTCCACGGAGGTGGAAGGGATAGTAGCCAACCCGGGAAGAACCAGCAGCAAACCCGGGGAGGGCCGAGCAGACGAAAGAACAGCGCAGGGTCCTGTGTCGTTCCTCCACGAAGACGGGGAGCGACACTGGAATTTCATCTGGGTCTCCCAAGTGAATGCAAGATGGCCTTGGGCCATCTTCCGCTGCTATCCAAGGCACATCCGCAGGGAGCTGGATTGGAAATGGAGCATCAGGGGACCATGTGGGATGCCAGGATCACAGGCGGCAGCTTAACCTGCTGCACCACAATGATTGCCCCTATTTATCCATTCTTAATCATCGCCAAATCTTTTTTTAGAAGACTTTTATTTATTCATTATGATTTAAGGGGTAGAGTTAGACAGAGGGAGAGACAGAAAGGTCTTCCATCCGCTGATCACTCCCCAAATGGCTGCACAGCCGGGACAGGGCTGATCCGAAGCCAGGAGCTTCTTGCAGGTCTCCCACACAGGTGCAGCTGGACCATCTTCCACTGCTTTCCCAAGCCATTAGCAGAGAGCTTGATTGGAAGAGGAGCAGCCAGGACGTGAACTGGTGTCCACATAGGATGCCAGAGCCACAGGCAAAGGATTAGCCTACTAAGCCCCAGTGCCAAATCTTTACACAGAATTGTAAATGGAGCAAAATTTTTCCCTTGGAAGAATTTCTTTCTTACCATGTTACCCCCTCAACAAGGCCAACGGACTCTTCATCCAAAGAGACTCATGATGCAACCCTCTCTCACCCCTTAGGACGCTGCCCTCGCCCTCATTCTCCCAAGTACAGAACAGACGGCATGGCAATGCCCTCTCTGGCCTTGTTGCCTCCTGAAGAAAACATTAAGGAAAATACACAGATTCCACAGGATCCAGAGCCTGCTCTGTGATCTGCGTGTGTGCACTCCGGGTGGTGTAGACACAGCCAGAGTGGAGCGAGGTGTGGCCTGGGTGGATTTTCAGACTGGTACTCTCCACAGGAAGGTTTCAGATCTACTGTCTGTGCACCTGGCCTTGTTTTCATTCGGATCATTAGCCAGTGTTGGGAGCTCACCAGCCCACGTGCAGCTTTGTAAACCCACAATCCTCCCTACTTGTCATTAGAAAGCCCAAGTGCTACAGACCAAAAACGTAAGAAATCCAAAGAATCCCTTAATCAGAGAAAACATGGCTCTTTTAAACAGACATCATCTTCTCAGTTTTTCATAACCAAGATGTATTTATTCTCATGTCCACAATTACTCTTATAAGTATCTGGTTATCATAACCACAGAAAGACCGTTTATTCCTTCTAACTGCTGGATAAAAGCATGCAGCATTTTCAAGATTTCTGGTTTCACCCTTTTAACCCGAGGAATAACTATAAATAGATGGTAAAGTCTGGGATTTCCACAGTAAGTGCTGCTATAAATAGTCTTAAACATTTTCCCACTTCATGCTTTCTAAAAGAACATTCTCCACTTCCTCTCCTGGATAACCTCTGGGAATGAAGACAGATCACATTCAGAATTTTATGGAGGGAGTTTAACAAAAACTTTTAATGAACCTATTAGCAATTCCAAACATTCCTCCAGAATAAAGCAACTTAACAAATTCACTCATTTAAATAGGTCAGCTAAATTTAGATAGCCAATTTTGAGAAAAGCACATTTCAAGCAAGCTGTTAATATGTTCGTCCATTTTCTCATGTTACTGGGAATTTTCCTCTTAAAAAAAAAATTAAGGCAAAGCCCATCCTACCCTTAACAATTGTCTCCTTTAAGGGAAACGTGTTCCAGTTTTCCCGGGAACTTAGATTGGGTGGGAGGGCGGCTCCAAGATGAGAGAGACCCAGGTCTCCACAGTTCCTCTGCGAGAACAGCCAGAAAAGGATTCTCACATCTACCCTCCGAGGAGCCCCGCGGGACGCCCGGTGAGCGGCCTGGGCGAGCCGCTCCCCGCGGCGCAGGCCCGGTGCCCGGTGCGGTGCGGAGCCTCAGAGGCATCCGCCGCCGGCGCTGCAGCAGCCCCTGCCGGCCGAGCTCGCGGCCCGGAGAGGACAGACTTCCCCGACGGGGCCGGGCCCTGCTGGTGGGACCCACGCCCGCATTTTGTATTTCAGGTTTTTTTTTTTTTTTTTTCCCCATGGGCGGGGGAAGCCATAATTTAAAAAATATTAGTGATTCTTAAAAAATGATAGACTTTTAAAAACGGTTTTGATTTTACAGAAAATACTGAGTGCAAAGTGCAGTTCCCAGGTAACTCCTCATGCACCCTCAATTTCCCCAATTTCTTTTTTTAAAGATTTACTTATTTTATTTGAAAGGCAGAGTTACAGAGAGGCAGAGAAAGAGAGAGAGGTCTTCTATCTGCAGGTTCACTCCCCGGATGGCTGCAACAGCAGGAGCTGTGCCAATCCGAAGCTAAAAGCCAGGAGCTTCTTCCCGGTCCCCTACATGGGTGCAGAGGCCCAAAGACTTGGGCCATCATCTACTGCTTTCCCAAGCCACAGCAGAGAGCTGGATTGGAAGTAGAGCAGCCAGGACTTGAACTATATGGGATGCGGGCACTGCAGGCGGTGGCTTTACCCGCTGTGCCACAGTGCAGGCCCCAATAGACTTTTTTTTTTTTTTCTTTTTCGACAGACAGATTGGACAGTGAGAGAGAGAGAGAGACAGAGAGAAAGGTCTTCCTTTGCCATTGGTTCACCCTCCAATGGCCACCGCGGCCAGTGCGCTGCGGCCGGCGCACCGCGCTGATCCAAAGGCAGGAGCCAGGTGCTTCTCCTGGTCTCCTATGGGGTGCAGGGCCCAAGCACTTGGGCCATCCTCCACTGCCTTCCCTGGCCACAGCAGAGAGCTGGCCTGGAAGAGGGGCAACCGGGACAGAATCCAGCGCCCCGACCCGGTGTGCCAGCGCCGCTAGGTGGAGGATTAGCCTGTTGAGCCGCTGCGCCGGCCCCTATTGGGTTTTGGTTTTACAGAAAATATTGAGTGCAAAGTGCAGTTCTCAGGTGACTCCTTATGCACCCTCAATTTCCCCAATTTTTAAAATAAAGTGCTTTTTTTAAAAGCAGCTATTTATTTGAAAGGCAGAGACGGGGTTTGAAGGGGCCTGGTGTTCTGTGCTGATTTTATATCCTGCTTTCACTGAATTCATTTATCAGCTCTACCAGATTTTGGGGGTGTGTAGGGTCTTTAACGTGATTCTGTCAGCACTTACCCCTTGTATTTGAATGAGTGAGGGGGGTGTGCATTTGTGACTTTTTATTTCGTCCTGGTGCATGGACTCTTAGCATCACATAATCTGCTCTTGCTCTTGCTGGTTCCCCTTCTGAAGCCTACTTGTTTCCTAACACAGTAAGTAACATGGCCCCTGGAGCTTTCTTTGGATCTGTGTTTGCAAGTTACTTGCTCTGTGCTTTTACCCTAGTGCTGTCATCATGGTTAAAGAGTTGTCTGGCAATCTGTGTCTTCTAACAGGCGACTTCAGACCTTCTGAGTTTCTTATTATTGGTGTGGTTGGATTTAGAGCGGCCACTCATTTGTTTTCCATTATCCCCTTTGGGCTTTGTCCTGGACATCCCTGTCCTGCCTCCCCTTCGCCCCCTACCCACTCCCCCTGCTTTTTTCCAGATGATTTAAATATTTCTGACCATTCCATTTTAATCCATCTTTTTTTTTTTTGCTACTTCTTACTGTATTTTTTTTTAACTACCACCATACTTATTCTTTTACAGTTCATTTACAGTTAATTCCCCATTTTAAGCAAAACATAGAAGCCTAAAACCATATCGGTCTCTTCAGCCTCCCCACCCCATTTATGTTTTATTGTCACATTATTGGAGTGATTTTCTGATCTCTCTGGCTGCTATAACAGAATGCTTTAGCGTAGATCATTTCAAATAATAGAAATGTGTTTCTCACAGTTGCAAAGGCCTTGGAAGGCACCAGCAGGCTCCGTGTCTGGGTGCCTCTTGCTGTGTTCTCACGCAAAAGAAGGGGTGAACAGCTCCCTGGAACATCTTCCATTAGGCTGCCATCCCCATTAGGAGATGATGAGGTCGTCTCCTCAAGTCCCCACCCCTTCGTGCTATCAAATTGGCGGTGAAGTTTCAGCACAGGAATCCTTGTGAGCCACGTTTAGGCCACAGCACCACGGGCACGGAGAGCTTTCACTCCGGGGCGCCTTCCACCCTCGCTCACGTGTTTAGAACGGTAGTCTGTGACAGTTGTCCAGGTATTACCACGCTGCCCGTTCTGGCTTCCTTCTCAGGTTCCTACCTTCTTCCAGAACAGGTGTGCTGGTGTCCTATCCTCTCAGCTCCGTTTCACACAAACGGGTATTTAGTCTTCATCTCTGAAGGAAGCTTTTGGTGCGTGTAGAAGTGGGGAATGCGTGTAGAAGTGGGGGGAGTGGGGGAAGGTCTGCGTTTCTTCCCAGTGCTTAACGGCTGGTCCACGTCTTCTGGCCACCATGGTTTCAGTGAGACGCCTTCCAGGTTCTGGTCCCCTGGATCTGAGAGTCCCCTCCCGCCCCTCTTCTCTCTTCCCTCTGCAGTTTGATGATGTTTCTTGGCACAGTTCTCTTCAGGCCTGTCTGGATTGGGATTCGCTGTGGTTTGTCCCCTACAGGCTCCATGTTGGAAGGTTGGCCCCCAGCAGGGTGTTGTTGAGAAGTGGCAGGCCTCCAAGGGGTGGGGCCCCGTGGGAAGCCAGATCTAACTCCCTGTGGGGAGTTGGATCGCTGGTTGTGCAAGAAATCACAGCTGTGCTTGTGTGAGCCTGCGTTAGCCCCCAGGGGCGTGGGTGTCATCACACAGCGAGTCTAGCCTTCCTCTCACCAGCTGGCTTCTTCCTCCCTGGCTCCCACCAGGCTGCCCTCAGCCTCAGGCCCTCACCAGGGACCGAGCAGATGAGGTTGCCTGGTCTTGGACTTCCAACCTCTAAAACTGGGAGCATACTCAGCCTCTTCTTGATAAGTCACCCGGCCTCGGGTATTGTGTTATTGCAATGGAAAATGGAATAACACGTCAAAGCACATGTTTTCCTAGAATTTGGCAAGTTTTAAGCATGCCTTTATTTTTAAAATAATTTTCCCACACATAACTGACTCTAGTGACATACATGTGAGGCCTTTTGTAATTGTCCCACAGGTCCCTAAGGCTCAGTTCATTTTGTTCCAAATCGGGATTCTCTCTGTACTTCAGGTTAGGTAATTTCTTTCGCTCATTTCTTAGTGTCTTCCTCCAGCATTGCCATGGTGCTATTGAGCCCATCCAGTGGATTTTTACTTTTTGTATTATGATGTATTTTTCCATTCTAAAGTACTTTTTTTTTTTTTGGTAATTCCTATTTCTCTATTGAAATCCTATTTCTAGGGGTCAGCATTGTGGTGGAGTCGTAAAGCCACCACCTGCGATTCCAGCATCCCATATGGGCACTGGTTCATGTCTCAGCTGCCCCACCTCTGATACGGCTCCCTGCTAATGGCCTGGGAAAAAACTGGAGGCTGGCCTAAGTGTTTAGGCCCCTGCCACCCACGTGGGAAACCCAGATGAAGCTCCTGGCTCCTGATTTCAGCCTGGCCCAGTGCTGCCATTGTGGGAGTGAACTACTCTCTCTGTCTCTCCCTCTCTCTCTGTAATTCTTTCAAAATAAATCTAAAATAAAAATCAGTTTCTATCCTTTTATTTATTCCAAGCATGGCTGTAATAGCTGCTTAAAAGACTTTGCCTTTCAATTTCAATATCTAGGCTGTCTCATAGTTGGTGTTTGTTGATTAACTTTTCCCATAAGATATGGTTGGGGCTGGCACTGTGGCTTATGTGGTTAATGCCCTGGCCCGAAGCACCAGAATCCCACAGGGGCACCGGTTCAAGACCCGGCTGCTCCACTTCCTATCCAGCTCTCTGCTATAGCCTGGGAAAGCAGTAGAAGACAGCCCAAGTTCTTGGGCCCCTGCATCTGCGTGGGAGACCTGTAAGAAGCTCCTGGCTCCTGGCTTCGGATCAGCAGCTCCAGCTGTTGTGGCCATCTGGGGAGTGAACCAGCGGATGGAAGACCTCTCTTTTTCTGCCTCTCCTCTCTCTGTGTAACTCTGACTTTCAAGTGAATAAATAAATCTTTTAAGAGAGAGAGAGAAATAACTTTATGGGGTTGGCGCTGTTGTGCAGAGGGTTAAGTTGCCGTCTGCAAAGCTGGCATCCCATATGGGCCCTGGTTTGCGTCCTGGCTGCTCCACTTCTAACCCAGCTCCCTGCTAACAAACCTGGGAAAGAAGTAGAGGATAGCCCAAGTGCTTGGGCTTCTGCACTCACATGGGACACATGGATGAAGCTCCTGGCTCCTGGCTTTGGGTTGGCGCCACTCCTGCCATTGCGGCCATCTGGGGAGTGAACCTGCAGATGGAAGATCTCTGTCTCTCTCTCTGTCTCTCCTCTCTCACTCTCTTTGACTTTCAAATACATAAATAAATCTTAAAAAGAAAAAAAAACTTTAAGAAGCTCACCAATACTGGTCATTTCTCAATCTTTTATTTCTCTTCTCCATCTGCCTGCTATTTTTTCAGAATCTTGCAAGAGTTGCTGTTTGCAGTCTTGATGAAAAAAAGTTAGGTACTAACATATGTTTGTTAAATGAAAAAAGAGTCTGGTCCCTAACCAGACTGTCAGTTCTGTGAATGTGTGGACCTTATGTCTTCTCCAGTTGGCTTTTATTGGTACCTGGTCCAACGCTATACATGGTGAGAGCAAAGTAATTGTTAACTTGCACTGGGCAAAGAACAGTGAACAATGAAGATTTAAATGGAAGGCTTCTTTTTTTCCACTTGTAGTATTAAAATTAAAAAAAAAAAAAACTCCTGGCAGATTGGATAAATCTTAAAGTGACGTACTTCAGAAAGCAACTAAGATTGGAATGGATTTTTGAAAGAAAGAAAAATCCTTTAAAAATCCAGGCTTTAAGGTTGGGGAACAAAAATAGTAATAAATTGTGGGGTAGAAAATAAAGGAAGACAGGAAGCTGATTATCCCCACTGAACAATACACAGAGAGAGGCTTGCAGCCAGAGACCACGGGGCTGGCCCTCTGAACCACTCTTTGAGGCACCCGGGCCTGTCCAAATGAAGCTATCAGAAAGACATGCGGAAGCTGGACAATAAAACGGTCAGGGGCCAAGGCTGGCGATAGGCATGTGAGGTCGCGCGTGCCACAGGAACAGCATTATGTGGGCCTGTGGACGTGTCTTGGCACCTGACAAGGGGAATTACCGTGGGGACTCTCCGGCAGAAGATGAACATGACAAATGGCCAGGACTCGCTCAAGGGCTCTGTCTCCAATGGGGGTGTTTTCTTTACAGGAAAGAGAGGAATAGTTCCAAAATACCTATCTTTTAACAGAAAAGCATGATTTATTTAAATGACAGAAATGTTTAGATAACAACCTTATTGTTTCAGAACTCTCAAAGCAATTTATAAAGAAAAGCTTGGAAAAATTTTCAGCAGTCGTTTCAAACCATGAAAGGCTTCACACCTATCTCTAACAACACTGTCTAGGACTAAAAGTAACGGTAAGAAATCATGGCAGAGTTTGTAATGAAAACCCACATGGAAACCTACATGGAAAGCCACACTTTGCTGCAAAGGGAAGTTAGGGAAGATAGTTATTTAGGTGCATGGCACTTTTCCCAGCTTAAACTTTGGCTTCTTACTACAAAGAAGGGGAGAACTGACACCCAGAAACCCTGGTTGCCCATCCGTGGGTGCCAGCAGCTGTTGTAATTGCTTGTGTGTGTGTGTGTGTGTGTGTGTGTGTTTCCCCTTCCAGGAGGTGGTAGGAGAAGAACCCGAGTCTACTTACCCAGTGTCCGGGCCAGGGTTTGGCCAGCTCAGATGCACATCACGCCTGGACGTGGCAAGCCCACTGCAGGTCTTGTCAGCAGCCTCGGCTGTGCATGGCCACCTTCCCTTGTGTAATTAAAGGGAACTGCTGCAGACACCACTTACTGTACTTTCTTTATTAAATTATTAGTGATGGGGGTCAGCGCTGTGGCACAGTGGGTTAACACCTGGCCTGAAGTGCCGGCATACCATATGGGTGCCGGTTTGAGACCCGGCTGCTCCACTTCCGATCCAGCTCTCTGCTATGGCCTGGGATAGCAGTGGTAGATGGCCCAGGTCCTTGGGCCCCTGTACCCACATGGGAGATAGGGAGGAAGCTCCTGGCTCCTGGCTCCTGGCTTCGGATCGGCGCAGCTCTGGTCATTGCAGCCAATTGGGGGAGTGAACCATCTAATGGAAGATCTCTCTCTCTCTCTCTGCCTCTCCTCTCTCTGTGTAACTATGGCTTTCAAATAAATAAATAAAAATCTTTAAAAAGAAATTATTACTGATGAAGTTGAGTGGTGCTTCCCGAGGGCACCTTCTCCAGCTGAACGCTGCAGCCCAAACACAGAGAGGTGCGCATGGCCCGGGCCTCATCTTGCCCTCCCTGCACCTGCCTGACCTTCACATCCTTTCGCTTCACTTTATCACTGGTTTGATTCTGCTATTGTGTGTGTGCATCCCACTGGGTAGCTTCCTTGTGGCAAAGTGAAATACTCACGGGTAATTGACAAACAAGTTGTTACTGGGTACTGGGCTTCATGTTGTTGAGAGGTACAGTCTGAGCAGAAGAGTCGAGCTGAGAAGAGACAAGCAAGGACGAATCTGAAGAGGGGTGTCACGGAGTGGGGCGGCGGCCCTGAGCAGCTTGAAGTGGAGGAGCCAGCACTTCTGTGAGTTGCCAGGGACCACCCTACGGCCCCATGGGAGCCTGCTGGGCGCCTGCTGCAGGGCAAGCTGGGGCCGTTCTGTGAAGGACCTTGTCTGGCATGAAGAGAAAGTGACCTCACTCTTTGTAAACAGCAGTCATCCAAGGGCTTTCCGAGGGACAGGGGTGAGGTTGTGGCGGAGTGGGAAGGAATTGGTGCCAGGGCACAGCACGGTCTCCCAGTGAGAGGCGTGGAAGCCACACTTGGAGAAGTCAGGAGACACCGCAGGCGTCTCTCTGGAAGGAGCTGGCAGACACCACTGGCCAGCGGAATCATCAACAGCATGGGGGCTCCCCGTGGATGAAGGTGCAGGAGGATGAGAGGGCGTCGGGTGGGGCAGGCTCAGGAGTGAGCAGGGCTGCTGGTGCTGGTGCTGGGAGGGGGCGGTCCACTCTGCTGCGGATGTTTAAAATTCCTGTAGAATCTCCAGGCTTAGATATCATGGGGCAGAATGCCAGCCTCCTGGAAGTCATCCGTAGAGGCGAAGGTCATCAGCCCACAGCAGAACTGGACTTGCTTAAGAACACAGAGGCAGGTGGGGCATTCGGCACACCAGGTACGGCCCTGCTGGGGACACCTGTGCTTGGGTTCGAGTGCTGGCTCTGCCTCCAATCCCGACTCCCTGCTAATGTACACCCTGGGAGGCAGTAGCAATGGTTTAAGCAGTTGGGTCTCTGCCACCCACAGGGGAGACTTCAGCTGACTTCCTCTATCCCAGCTTCAACCTAACCCAGCCCTAACTGTTTGGGCGTTTGGTGAGTGCACCGGCAGACAGACCTCTCTTTTTCTTTCTGCCTCTGAAATTAAAAAAAAAAAAAAATTTAAAAAGCATATTCTCTGCTAAGAGAAACACCAACAAGACCTCTCACCCAACTGCAATAAATCACGGTCAGTCCTGAACCAGAGGCGAGCACAAGGTGCTGCGCGGGACAAAGGAGGGGGCGTCCTGCCCTGCGTGGGGACAAGAGGTGGACAAGGCCTGGGGATGGTTCTGGCAGGAACACTTGAGCAGGCTCCAATGGCTGAATTAGAGAGGAAGACACTCCCAGGGTGCACGGCGACACAAATACCCACCCTACAGTTCCAAACAACACGGCTCTTTCAGAAAACCACAAGGAGCCTGTGTGAAGCAGCAGCCACGGTGCTAGGGGATGTGATATCAGAAACATCAGACAGGCAGGCCTGGGCCAGGCTGGGGAGAGCTTGCGTGCTGTCCTGAGCAGCCCGTACCCCAGAAAGACATGTCTTTGTCTTATGAAGAATGCAAGCCCACCGAAAAAGAGCAGTAGGGAAAAGGGAGTCTGTTCTGACCCATCAGGGAGGTGTCAGGGAGCACAGGTGCTGGAAATGGGCTGTGGCGAGACAGTCGGCAGCCACTCATCCCTCTAGCTCCTTGTCTGTGGTCACGTGAGCGGGGGACATGCCACATTTTAATTTCAGCAGGTTCATTTGTTCCTCCCTCCCACATCATCACATGTATGTAGTTTTGGGTTCCCACGGCTTCAGTTGTAACCACAGTCCTGTATTCCTTCCAGGCTCTCGTGTCAGCTCTGTTTGACTGTAATCTCTGACTCTGGTGGTGTGTGAGGTAACGACAAAGGGCCCCATCACCAGGGGCTGGGAGGGGAGGGGATCCCCTAGTACAGTCTGTGCATGGAGCTCTGCCTCACTTAGGGGAGCACCTGCAGTGATGGGGCATGGACTGGGAGGGCAGCCCCATTTGTCTGCCACTTGCTGCCATCTCCCTGGAGTGCACATTTCCTCTAACTGACTTGGTAAGTTCCTATTGACCTCCTGTTATTTGCTAGGCATTGGTCCAGGCCGTAGAAATAGAGCAAAAACAAAATAGTGCCTTTCCTCTCCTCTCCAGCAGCCTACATTCTATTGGGGGGGGCAGGTAATAAATCATATGATGTCACTAAGAAATAAATGCATTGTGATATAAAGTAGGACAAAGGGGGTACTGTATCAGGTAGCATTCAATTTGAATGAAAAAAAAAAAACCCAGAAGTTAGAACATGTTTAAACAAAGTTTTTTTTCTGACTTTGTCCAAAGGTGGGTATGATGCTCCACAGTGTCAGGTTCTTTTTGTATGATTGTGGTGCCATGTGTGGCTGCCAACATGGGTGCTGGAGCTCCAGCCATTACACACACCCAACCAGAAAGAGAATGGCACAGGACACGTGTCATATACCACATACAGCACTGCCCGCGCCATCATGGCCTAGTCAAACCTCCTGGTTGCAGGAGAATCTGGGAAGCATAGTCAGAGGCAGTCAAGAGCCTCAGTGAATGATAGAGACCCAGTGCTCATACCAGGGGAGTGTGGATGCTGGCAGCAAATCATGTCTGTTAGAAGGACAGTCGTTACATGAAGGGGGCCCACATGCCACTAAGGGTGGTCAGGCTCAGTATCTTATGCACTCAGTGCAGACTGGGAAGGAAGTGAAGGGCAAGTGTGTCTGTGTTTGGGGGAAGAACATTCCAGATGCAGAGAACGTCTACCCGACTTGATGCACTGAAAAGACAGCAAGAAGACAGGATGGCTGACACTGCAAGGACAAGCAGAGTGACTTGCTGATCCAGTGAAACTGGCCTCACCACTCACTGCAGCAAGGAAGCCGAATCTGCAGCCTAGAAGAGGCCCACCGTGCCACGAGGGCACAGCAAACCAGCCGAGGAGCCAGCGTCCTGCCAGTGCTGTCCCACAAGCCATCTGCTGTGCTGAGAAGGGGCCAGCCAAGCAGCCCCTTGTTGGAGAAATGGCACTGAGATGGCTGAAGAAGGAAACAGAAGCTATTTACTGGGCAAGAACTTCCTGGAAGAGACTGAGGCAGGTTGACTTAAGAGGAGAGGGAAAAAGTGAGGGAGAGGGAGAAGGAGAAGGAGAGGGAGAAGGAGAGGGAGGGAGAAGGAGAGGGAGAGGGAGAGGGAGAGGGAGAGGGAGAGGGAGAGGGAGAGGGAGAGGGAGAAGGAGAGGGAGAAAGAGAGGGAGAGGGAGAGGGAGAGGGAGGGAGAGAGAGATTCCATCTACTGGTTTACTCTCCAAGTGTCTGCAACTGCTGGGACTGGGCTAGGGCCAACAGCAGGAATCTGGAGCTCAATCTGGTTCTCCCATGTGGGTGACAGGGACCCAAGTATTTGAGCCATCACCTGCTTAGGGTACACATTAGCAGGAAGCTGGAATTGGGAGTAGAATCAGCCTCAAACCCAGGGACTCTGACATTGGATGTTGGTCTTGCAAGCAGCACCTTAACTGCTACACCAAACTCCACTTCTGCTCTGTCTTGCGGTTAGCACATCCTGGGAGGCAGCAGATGATGGCTTTACTGCTCCAGACTTCAGACAGTGAAAAAGTCAAATGACATTTCAGTGTCACTGTGCAAATATCCTTTACCTAGAGCCCCTTGAAAGGGTATAGAGGAGTTTGAAGGGCTCAAGACCCATATTTTATGAAAAACAAACAGAAACAAAACACTGCTTGGAGCCCGCACTGTGACATGGTGGGTAAAGCTGCTACATCCCGCATGGGCACTGGTTTGAGTCCCAACTGCTCTACTTCTGGTCCAGCTCTCTGCTATGGCCTGGGAAAGCAGTAAAAGATAGCCCAAGTCCTTGGGACCCTGTACCCATGTGGGAGACCCAGAAGAAGCTCCTGGCTCCTGGCTTCAGATCGGTGCAGCTCCAGCTGTTGTGGCCATCTGGGGAACAAACCAGCAGATGGAAGACTTCTCTCTCTCTCTCTCTAGCTCTGCCTCTGCCTCTCTGTAACTCTTGCCTTTCAAATAAATAAATAAATCTGCCCTAGACTGATCATAGCCCATCCCAATGGGGCAGGGTGACCCACCTCAACACATGGGCTATGGTGGGAGGGGTGGTGTCTGGATGAAAATCTTAGGGGAAGGGGCAATGGATGCAGACGCTCACTACATAAACACACAAGAAACAACTAGGAAGGCACACAGCTATAGCCACTTGGTAAGAAAGTGGGATTTGGGGACCACCAGTGTGGCATAATAGGTAAAGCGGGAGCTAGCGCTGTGGCGCAGTGGGTTAAAGCCCCAGCCTGCAGTGCTGGTATCCCATATGGGTGCTGGTTCGAGTCCTGGCTGCTCCTCTTCTGATCTAGCTCTCTGCTGTGGCCTGGGAAAGCAGTGGAAGATGGCCCAAGTCCTTAGGTCACTGCACCCATGTGGGAGATCTGGAAGAAGCTCCTGGCTCCTGGCTTTGGACCAGCTCAGCTCTGACCGTTGTGGTCATTTGGGGAGTGAACCAGCGGAATGGAAGACCTCTCTCTCTCTCTCTGGCTCTACCTCTCTTTGTAACTCTTTCAAAGAAGTAAAAAATAATTCTAAAAATTATATTCTAAAAAATAATAGGTAAAGCAGCCACCTGAGATTCCAGCACCCCATATAGGCACTGGTTTGAGTCCTGGCTTCTCCACTTCTGATCCAGCTCCCTGCTAATGCACCTGGGAAAGCAGTGGAGGATGTCCCAAGTGCTTGTGCTCCTGCACCTATGTGGGAGACCCAGAACAAGCTCCAGGCTCCAGGCTCGAGGCTCCAGACTCCAGACCTGGCCCAGCCCCAACCATTTCAGCCATTTGGAAGTGAACCAGTGGATGGAAGATCTCTCTGTCTCTCCCTCTCTCTGTCACTCAGCTTTTCAAGTAAATAAAATACATTTTTTTAAAGCAGGATTTGGGACAACACAAGTGAGAGATTTCCACCTTTGATTCAGTATTCAAAACAGACAAGGCTTGAATCCTGGAGCAAAAATGCCTTCTTATTTGTACAAACAGAAAAACTAGAGCATGAATGGGAACTGGCCAAAAAGAGGTAGACGACTAGGCACAATTTACAGTTGTTGGTACATGGACAAAAAGGTCTCCTAATGCAAGCTCTTTCCATTCTCTCATGCTGCACCTGACAACCTACCGGCACCCTCCTGCTGTCAGCCAGGGGGTCAGTTTACAGTATCACTGATGAGGTTACAGCTTCCATTGCACCCCAAGCTGAAGCTCCTCTGCACGGTGACCGAGTGCCCTGAGCTGAGTTGCACAGAAACAAGTTTTCTCAGCTCTGCTTTGTCACACTGCCTGTCGAGGGGCCGAGATCTCTGAGCATCACTATTTTCTCATTGTTGACTTTGGTACTGCACTGAAGAAGTCTTCTCTCCCTCAACATTACAAAACCAGTGCCCGGTGTTTCTCCTGGTATATTTGTTTTTTTTTCTATTTGTATTTTTACAGTTAAATCCTACCTGGCTCTTATTCTGGTGTAGGCTGTGATGCCTGTACATTACATCTTCCCAAGTACAGTTGCACTAACACTGGTTTTGATTAATTGGCCCTTTCTGCTCTGATTTTAAGTGCCACTTTGATAAAACACAATGTGAACCACACATAGGGTAAGTGGGCTTCTGGACTCTTCATTCTGTTTCATGATCCATCATTTTGGCACTGGTGACACTACTCCTGTGGCTTTACACTATGCTTTGATACCTGCTGGAAGAAACCCTCAGCCAGTGCACTAGTTTCTGTATTGATGATGTAATCAACTTCCGAGAATTTAGCACCTTAAGCATACAAAGTTATCATCTTATAGTCCTGGAGGTCAAAATGTTCAAAATGGGCCCCACCATGCTAAAGTCGACATGCCAAATGGCCACGTTCCCTCTGGAATCTCTACAGTAGACTGCTTGCTCTCCTGGGTTCCAGGCTGACTCCTCGGCTCAGGAGCCTTCTCACCCTCAAAGCCAGCCAACGCTAGCTGCATCTTCTCACATTGCATCATCTTTTCTGCCTCCTCCTCCCACTTTTAAGAACCCTTGTGATTACACTGGGCCCTGTAGATAATTCAGGTTAGCCTTCTTTTTAAGGTCAGCTGATTAGCAATGCCAGTTCCATCTACACCCTGCGTTCTCCTTTGCCATGTAACTTGATGTATTCGCTAGTTCCAGAAATGATGTGGGTTATCTTAAAACAGATACCACTGTTTTTCATGCTCAGTATTGTTTCCCAAAATTTCTTGAGCTTTTTCTCCCATGATTCTGGAATGCATTCTGGAACTCTACACCCTGCTGCCCTCCTCGATTCAATATGTATGAAAATGAGACTGTGAAGTGGGTACTGTATATGTCCCAATAATCAGTGATAAAACCAAATATCCACTCACTATGTTAACAGAAATATAATTTCTTTCCTTTCTCTATATAGAAAGTATGACATTCATAACCAAATAAGTGGCATACTGCTATAGATAGTTAAATAAAAGATACTTTTTCTTGATACCTTTATGCTTGTGGTATCAAACAAAAATTATTGGTGTCCAATTGATCTGCACTAGGCCCAGAAGATCAGAGCAAACCAGAATGGAGTCACTCACATGAGATGCACCACATCAAAGTAAACTTTAAAATGAGCCAGTTTTCCAAAGAACAGGAGATTCCTGTAAGGCAAGCAGAAGGGTTCCAGGTCACCTGAGCTGGCATAAAAAGCAAGCCCTTCTGCTATAACCCTTTAAAGAAAGTAACTTTTGAAATGACTGCATGGGTTTTTGTTTCACTTCCATCTTAAGCCCTTTTCTGCCTATAATCCCCACCCCAAGTCTATGTTCAGTCCATCAAAGCTCCTCCTCATTTATGAATGGGATGTCCCTGATAATAGGTCTGTAAGACTTGATTTGCTAGAATTTTTTTTTTTTTAGATTTTATTTATTTGAAAGGTACAGTTACAGAAGTTACAGAGAGACAGAGAGAAAGGTCTTCATTCCCTTGGTTCATTCCCCAAATGGCCCAACGGTCGGAGCTGCGCCGATCCAAAGCCAGGAGCCAGGTGCTTCCTCCGTATCTCCCATGTGGGTTTTTCCCAGGCCACAGCAGTGAGCTGGATTGGAAGAGGAGCAGCCAGGACTAGAACAGGTGCCCATATGGGATGCTGGCACCACAGGTGGAGGAATAACCCACTGCACCATGGCGCTGGTCCCCCAGAATTTGTTTTCTAACAGTGTTATGTCAGCTTTTTAAAAATTTCTGATTTCTGTGATTGCCTTCTGCATTGTAAATAAATATCCATGTTCAAAACTTATTTTGTACAACTAAGTTCTATGACCTACAAAACTCTTCTCCACTCTATTAGTAGATAAAAGCCAATTCTGTCTGATTGCTCAAGCCTATTCTTCATTCCTTCCTCTTCTTCATAGCTGCTAGTCAGTTAACACCCACGGATCATACCTGTTAGCTATTTCTTACAAAAGGTCACCCCTTTGCTTTTCTTTTTCACACAATGCCACTCCCCTTTGGGGCTTTATCTGTTCTGTCCTGATACCTGAAGCCACAACCCCCACCCCATGATGTGGGATATTTGACAGTTATTGGCCTGTGAATCAGTATTTCCTTATAAAAATTTGAAACAATACTGAAATCCAGTTGATTTTCATCTGATCTTCTCTTCCTGGGAGACAGTCATCAATATATTTTTCAGTGTTTTCTGGCCATTTGCATTTAGAAGTACATTGTTTTAGTTTTTATAGAAATGGTGTATTAATGTACGTATTACCTAGCACTTGCTTTTTTCACCTAACATAGATCTTTCCATGATTATACATTTAGATACATTATACAGTCATATAGCTGGTAACTTTAAAAAAGATATATCTGCAAGGCAACAAGGGGGATGCAGTAGAGAGAACTTCCATTTGCTGGTCTATTCCCCAAATTCCCACCCATAGCAGCCAGGTCTAGGCCAGACTGAAGCCTTCGGAAGCCAGAAACCCCATCCAATCTCTCACAGGGGTGGCGGGAACTCAAGTACTTGAGCTACCACCTGCTGCCTCCTAGGGCATTAGTAGGATGTTGTGTCAGAAGTGCAGGGTAGCTGGGACTCAAACCAGGCACTCCAATTAGGGTTGTGGGCTTAAATGGCTGTGCCACAACACCCGCTCCTAGATCTACTTCTTTAACTGCTCAATGGCATTTCATGAGTCATCTTGTAACTTCACGTAGCCATTCTTCTACTGATATGCATCCTTCCTGACTCAATTCCTATTACTCCTACCTTTTTTCCTTGCCCAATAGTACTGTGTGACCTCCAAATTGTGGAATGGGTATCCCTGAGAATAAAGATGTGATTAACAGTTTCAAAGGATTCAATTTTCAGATGATCAATTTTCCTAAGACGGATCTGCCTGAGAGGACTCCTGGAGCCCAGAACTTGCACTTCACAATGGCCCCTCTCGCACTCGGCACACCCTGCATCTTGCATTCTGCACCGCTTGGAGATATAATAACCTTGAGGACACCAGTTGATAACCTGACAATTTCTTCTAATTAAGGCATCTTAAGAGATGTATTTCCAATTAAACTTTTAAATTTACAATTCGTGGTATACACCATGCTTAGTGTATCACTAACAATAGTAAAAAGCTCAATTTAGAAGAAATTTTAACTTTTGAAAAAACTGAAAGGCAGAGTTAAGAGTGGGAGAGACAGAGACTTTGTATCCACCGGATCACTCCATAAATGGCTGCAACAACTGAGGCTGTGGCAGACTGAAGCCAGAAGCCAGGAGTCTCATCCAGGTGTCCCATGTGCTGGCAGGGGCTCAAGTACTTGGGACACTGTCCCCTGCTTTCCCAGGTGCATTAGCAGAAAACTGGATTGGAGATGGAGCAGCAGGGACTCAAACCAGCGCCCATGTAGCAGACAAGTGCTGCAGACAATGGCTTAACCCACTGCACCACAGTGCTGGCCCCCAAAATTTTAACTCTTAAGAGCCCTAATGACATAGACTCATCAACAAAAGCCTTTGAAGCATGAAAGCACATTCAAGTTAACATAGGATTCTGTGGTACAAGTGAAATTAAAATGCTTTCAAGAAAAGATGATCCATGTAAAGTTTCCAGCTGATGAAAGGATCAAATATTTTCAGGACGGATGATGGTGGGTATTGCAATCTACGGTTATGTATAACTCACTGGGTCCATTAAAGGACTTCTGTAACCACTTGCTCTTCGAAGTGCCATTTACAGCCCATCAGAACCTACTTCTTTTGTAACTGATGAGAAATTTTAGACAGCGATGAGATTGTGAGGGAGAGCCACAGCCTTCTTCCCAGAGAAACCTAAAGCTTCCTAAGTCAGGCCCTTACGGTAGTGTGCCCATTCACTTGCTTCAGGCCTTCAGGTCATGGAGGGAACTTCCTGTTCATCTCTCACTGCAGCCTTCCTCCTAGGTATCACTTCACCCAGGAAGCCTCCTTCTGCCCCAGGCTGCAGCCGACCTCCACGTGTGTTCCCACAGTACTACAGGCTGCCCACACAGCCCACACGTGACTTCCTGTTAACTGTCCCACAGGGAAGATAAACAGAATCACATCCCACTGTTATACCCCAATGGAAACAGAGGCAGGGGGTGAAAGGGGGTTGCAGCTTAGAGCATGTGGTGGTGATGGGGCCGGCGCGGTGGTGTAGCAGGTAAAGCCACCCATGTGGTGGTGATGGGGCCGGCGCGGTGGTGTAGCAGGTAAAGCCACTGCCTGCAGTCCCAGCATCCCGTGGGGGTACCGGTTTTAGACCCAGCTGCTCCACTTCCGACCCAGCTCTCTGCTATGGCCTGGGAAAGTCCTTGGGCCCTTGCACCTGCCTGGGAGACCCAGAAGAAGCTCCTGATCGGCACAGCTCCGGCCATTGCGGCCAACTGGGGAGTGAACCATCGGATGGAAGACTCTCTCTCTCTCTCTGCTTTTCCTCTGAGTAACTCTGACTTTCAAATAAATAAATAAAATCTTAGAAAAAATGTGGCGGGGAAACGGAGAAAAATGAAAGAGGGGATGGTGGCGGAAAATGAGGGTGACTCTGGCTGTTAACAAGAAGGGAACACAGGTACGAGGCAGAGAATAGCCGAGAAAGAGCTCAGGTTTAGAGATAAACAGGGGCTAGGAGAAGCTTAAATTCTCGGTGTCTCTACTGCCAATACATCCCACAACAGTTTACAATTTGGTGACTAAAAGTAATGTGGGGTAACTCGAAGGAAGCAACGTTTACACACACACACAAATGCTGACTTTACAAAGAAACTTCAAAAAGTACATGAAAAGTAGAAAAGACAAAATAAAAAGTGTAAACTTTATTTCTCAAGGTATACTCTATCAAATTCAAGATACTTTTGTGAGTAACAATGTCAGCCACTTAGTCCATGTCAACATATTAAGTGAAGAAAACAGGTGCTCTTTAAAACTTTAAAGACCAGGAAGGCCCCCGCCCCCATCCCCAAAAAAGAGAGAGCAAGAGAGCCAAATCAGGACTGCAAGGTGAATACCTGCACTTGCAAAACTACCCTTGACGACAGGAGAGGAAGGACCACCGTCACTGTGGGAAGGGGCCCTTAGACGAAACTTTCCTAGGTGTTTTTCGACTAAAACTTCAGCTAACATTCTTAAAACACTCTCATGAGAAGCAGAAGTTATCATCCTTTGATCCTCCAAAAAGCCAACCAGCAAAACGCCTGGAGCCTCCCAAAACACTGTCACCACGACCTGTGTTCCTAACAAAGCCACTTCTGCTTTGACTGAACCACTTCCCCCCTTGGTTTTACGGTCCTGCGTCCTCAGGATTGTACTGGTAAAGCTATCTGTTTCAGCCATTACAATTTTTTGAAGAATGCTTCAGGATCTTGATCTCACTGGTTTATCACTTCCATTGAAAGCTCTGCTCTTGTCTGGAGCTGAGCTGGGTGCACCCCCTGAACAGAAAGCACATACCACTTCCAGCTTTCACTCAGCATTTCGTTAAGCTGAACCGTTGATGTGTATAGGGTAGGCCACTGTTCTCGCTAGTCATCAGTCCTCTTCAATCAGGGCACAGGCAAGACTCATTTCTTCCACGCACGGTGATGTAGATGTTCTGCTGCAGCGCGCTTCATCTTCAACATCCGCTTGTCCCTTCTTAAAACCAGTTACCCATTTGTGAACTGGGTAACTGTAGAGCACTATCCCCATAGACTCTCCTAAGGCAGCAATGATTTCAACATTCTGCAACCCAAGCTTCACCATAAACTTGATGTTTGCCTTGCCTCAATTTTAACAGAATCCATTTTGCTTTCATAGATCAAACTAGATCCTATTGGAAATATTATAACAAGTTAGCACAAGTTCATTTTGGTGGAAAAAACTTTTAAAAAAAAGTATGTATAATGGGCCTTTTCCATGAACTTATTGGAAGACCTCTGATATATATGCATAGATCCTAGGTGAACACAGAACATGCTTACTCCCCAGAGGACACCATCCCCGAATCGGGTCTCTCATGAATCATGGGTACATGAAGAAAGTAGCCCCATCCTGAGCCCGATTAGGCTTTGCACTGAAATGCCTTCCTGCCTCAAGCTACCCCACACTGCTTTGGAAAGCATCTTTCAAAGGGCAACCATCCTTGTGAAGAGTTACACAGAAAACCAATAAAACCAAAGACCGGCAGCCAAAGGTCAACACTAGAAATCTAAGGCGGCCACAGCTCCCTGCCTCCCTAGCTTTTTAAGGTCACACAAGTCACCAGGCCGGCGCCGCGGCTCACTTGGCTGGCCGCAGCGCACCGGCCGGCCCTAGCGGCCATTTGAGGGGCGAGCAAACGGAAAAAGGAAGACCTTTCTCTCGTCTCTCTCTCTAACTGCCTGTCAAAAAAAAAAAAAAAAATCACCACGGGCACACCTAAGTATTTCAAACACCCCTCAACACACACACACACACACACACACACACACACACGGCCCCTTATTTAGGAGACAACCAAAAAAACCAGGCCAAACAGCAAGGCCCCGGCAAGGGTTGCAAGAGTGAATTTTGCAAAGGTGGCTCAGCAACGAGGCACTACCCGTGCGCGCAGGCCGCCCGGACATCCCTAAACACGTACCGGTCACCGTTCAGCGGGGCGGGAAACGGGCCTACCCCACCACGGGAGCCCGGGGGGCCGAGGACACTGGGTCCGGCCCTCGCGTGGCGGCCACACGCCCTCCCCGACCTGCTCCGAGCCTGCGCCGCGGAACGCCTCGCAAACAGGTGACCAGCGCACCGCTACGCCCCGTGCCAGAGGCGAGGCCGGGATGGCGCGCTCAAGCCAGCCTGCCCTCGCATCACACCGATGCTGCACCCCCGCAGCCCCGTCCTCCGACCCCGCCCGCACCCACCTTCGCCTGGCTGCACACATAGGCCAACCCCCTCCCGGGGAGCATGCGCAGTGGCCGGAGCCAGCCCCATCGCGCCTGCGCGGCAGCGGCGCCTCAACCGACAGCCGGACTTCGCCACTCAGGAGACGTGTTATTGCCACGGAGGCCCCGCCCCCAGAGGGAGACCATGGTGACGGACGACCAATCCGGAGACATGTTATTGCCGCAGAGCCCCGCCCCCGGCCAGGGGAGCCGATGACGGGCCGGGGTCATGGGTTGTAAGCGCGCCTGAGGTACGGACCCCGGCCGGCCGTGGTGTCCCTCCCTCAGCCCCGCGGCCTGCAGCAGCGCGCCGGGTCCTGCACTCGCCCGCCCGCGGCTCGGGCCGGAGGCCAGGAGCCGGCGGCGGGCTCGGCGTCCGGGCGGCCGGGAGGTTGGGGGGTGGCGACCCGGCGCGGTGATTGGCCGGCGGCTGGCCGCGGCTGAAGGCCCCGGGTGGCCGGGCGGGGAGAGAGAGCAGGCGGAGCCGTCCGCCGCCGAGCCGGGAAGATGCTGCTGTCCCTGGTGCTCCACTCGTACTCGATGCGCTACCTGCTGCCGGGCGTCGTGCTCCTGGGCACGGCGCCCACCTACGTGCTGGCCTGGGGGGTCTTGCGGCTGCTGTCCGCCTGCCTGCCTGCCCGCTTCTACCAGCGGATGGACGACCGGCTCTACTGCGTCTACCAGAGCATGGTGCTCTTCTTCTTCGAGAACTACACCGGGGTGCAGGTGAGGCTCTTCCGGGTGTGGACCCTTCACGGCAGGTGCCTGCTTCCGGGTGTGGACCCTTCGCGGCAGGTGCCTGGCGGGCCCGGCTCCGGGAGCACGTGCCGTGGCGCGGTGTTTCACGCTCCTGCTGCAGCGGCCGGATGGCCACCTGCGCGGGTCCGCCGAGATCCCCGGGGCACTGCAGAGGGGTCGTTCTGAGGCCTCCGTGTGGCCCGCGCCCCCTCCGCGTCCGTGCGTCTCGGGGCTGAGCAGTATTTTCGAGTGGTGGCGAGCCTGCGGTCCGGGGAGATGGTGGAGCAGGGTGCAGGTGCGCTCGGAGGTGCTGTTTGGAAGAGACCTCCTCTTAGAACGCTGGTGGTGTTGCTGTTCGGGCCCGAAGTGCCGCTGGGCTTGGAGTTCTTCCCCAGTGCGAGTGAGACACGGGGGAGGGAGGAGACCCGTGCAGGTGCCGCCCAGGTGCCGTTCTCGCCCGCCGGGGCTAGACTCTCTTTACTTTCATCCTGTCTATTGATGGGGACCGCAGTGGCAGATTAAAGCAGCTGGAACGCCAAGGCAGAAGGCGGCTGTCAGCGTTATTTAGTTCCTGGAAGTCTCAGGACGCACAGTTGTGAATTTTCCCGTTCTCTCGCCTACAGCGAGACTCTGGTTCTTGGCCATACCCGAGGTCCCATCAGGCGGTAGGGGTGGGGCGAGGTGGGGAGAATGGGACAGTACTGCCTTGTCTTTCGGCCTCTCTTTTTTCCACCTGAAGCAGCTGTGTTCGCGCTGTGGCCAGCCAGCTACTGTATTGAGTTTCCGGCTGCTCCACTTGGAGCTTGTTTGTTGGGGAAGGGAACGCAGGCCCTTCATTCAAACCAGTATCTGTTAAGTCTTTACCAGAAAAGAAAAAAAAATCTCTGTTCTTGATCGTGATGTACCGGTGACTTTTTTATTTTATTTTATTTTATTTTATTTTATTTTATTTTATTTTTTTGACAGGAAGAGTTAGACAGTGAGAGAGTGAGAGACAGAAAGGTCTTCTTTTTGTTGGTTCACCCCCCAAATGGTCGCTGCTTGCGGCTGTGCCGATCCGAAGCCAGGAGCCAGGTGCTTCTCCTGGTCTCCCATGGGGTGCAGGGCCCAAGCACTTGGGCCATCCTCCACTGCACTCACAGGCCACAGCAGAGAGCTGGCCTGGAAGAGGGGCAACCGGGACAGAATCCGGTGCCCCAACCAGGACTAGAACCCGGTGTGCCGGCGCCGCAGGCAGAGGATTAGCCTAGTGAGCCGTGGTGCCAGCTCCGGTGACTGACTTTTAAAGTGGGCCTCTTTTAAAATTTTTCGCTAATTCTAGCTGGTTGTTCCCCCAGTCACTCCACCCCCATGCTCCTATTTCAACAAGTGTGTTTAAATGTATGGTTTTGGGGCCGGCGCTGTGGCACAGTAGGTTAATCCTCCACCTGCAGTGCAGCATCCCATTTGGGCACCGGTTTGAGTCCCGGCTACTCCTCTTCTGATCTAGCTCTCTGCTATGGCCTGGGAAAGCAGTAGAAGTAGAAGATAGTAGTAGAAGAAGTGCTTGGGCTCCTGGACCTGCGTGGGAGACCTGGAAGAAGCTCCTGGCTCCTAGCTTTGGAGCGGCTCAGCTCCATTGTGGCCATTTGGGGCATGAACCAGCAGATGGAAGACCTTTCTGTCTCTTCCTCTCACTGTCCGTAATTCTACCTCTCAAATAAATAAATCTTTAAAAAATTAAAAATGTGTGGTTTTTATTGTGAGTAACTCTTTTAATTTGACATCGTCTGACAACTGGCCTGGACTGAGATACAAACTTAGAACACAAAGTCAGTCCTCACCTCTGTGAAAAATAACTCTGTCTGAAATTAACGTACTTTGCCATATATACTGCTGGCTGCAAATATCCTGCTTTTTCATTTCCCAGAAATACGTTTTTAAAACATTTAATTGAAAAATTCTTTGCTCTTGGTTGTTGCAGTGAAAGAATCCATTCATAATCTTTTTACGTTGTGATGTCTGAGGACCCTTAAGTATAATTGAAATTTTTATGTGATGAGTATCCCTTGATGAAGTTTGTTAGGAATCCTAGGACCAACTGCCCACTCACCATCAATTGAGGATTTTAGGCATTTAATTAAAATACAGACCCCTTTGCACAGATGTCTTGTTCCTGTGTTACTATTATGGTTGCAAAGATGTAAATAATTGAGAGGAATGTGTTTTGAATGTGTTAGTTTCTTTTTCTGACCTGGGGTTTTGTGTACACAAGGCTGCCTTCCAATATTTTTGCTGATTCTTTTTATGATTAAATCAGTAGAGAAATAGCTATAAAATCCAAAAGAAGGCTATCCAGTTAACTTAGTTTTCATTGATTTTTCATTTTTAATAATTTTTTATTTATACAAATGGAACAAATTTCATGTATCTCATATATACAGTTTTAGGTACATAATGACACTTCCTACCCCATTCTCCCTCCCTCTTTTGCTCCCATCCTTTTTCCCACTTCCTTTCTTATTTTTCTTTTAATTTTTGCAATAATATACTTTTTTTTTCTTTGAAAACAAGTTTTATCATTAATCAAAGAAACACATAAGGAAACAATGGAGTTGGGCACTTGGGCTTATCTAAAACTTATGAGACGTTAGATTATCTTCCACTTAATACACTAACACAAAGTAGATCTTTGAGAACAAGTTTTACTATTAACTCTCAATACAACTCTTTGAGGACAGAGGTCCTGCATGGGAAGTTAGTGCACAGTGAGTTCTGTTGTTAATTTAACAATGAACACTCTTATGTATGATGTCAGTGATTACCCAAGGCTTTTGACATGAGCTGCCTGGGGTATTGAAGCCTTTTGAATCCACAATCTCCATCAGTATTTAGACAAGGCCATAAGCAAAGTGGACGTTCTCTCCTCCCTTTAGAGAAAAGTGCATCCTTTGATGGTCTCTTCTTTCCAATGGGGTCTCACTCACAGGGATCATTCATGTAGGACATTTTTGCCAGAGTGTTTTGACTTTCCATGCCTGAATTGCTCTTGTGGGCTTTTTGGCCAGACCAGAATGCCTTAAGGGCTGATTCTGAGGTCAGAGTGCTACTTTACGCCATTGTCTTTCTGAGTCTGCTGTGTGCACTGCTTCCTTTGTTGGAGCATTCAAGCCTTTTTAATTCTGTTATTATTACCAGATGATCCTATTTGTATGTTCGATTTAATACTTAATCCTATCTATATGATCATTTTAACACTTAATGCTATCCCTATGATCACTTTAACACTTAAAATGCCTTTTTTTTTTTACCACCCCACTTATGGGGATTTGGGGTTCCAAGGCAAGTTTTAAACTGTACCCATAAAGGTAAGTCTGTAGGAATATATGCAGAACTATACAGCTTTACAGTTACAGGTTTCATATACTTCATAATTACAACTTTAGGAACATGGTGATTCTTTCCACTGTGCCCACCCTCCCACCCGCACTACCACCCCTCTTCCTCCTCCCTCTTATTCCCATTCTTATTTTTTACTAAGATCTATATTCAATTAACTTTATACACATATGATTAACTGTATGTTAAGAGTTTAACAAATAGTATGAAAGAAAAGAAAAAACAGAAAACAAAAAGAAAGCAAAAAAGCAAAAAATTGTTCCTCAACAATTTATAGTTTCTATCCTAGAATTCTGTATGCATCCTAAATGTTGAGGTAGTTGCATAACCAATATCTGCAATAGTTAAAATTAGTAGTGAAAAAATCTTTTCAACATGATTTATGAAGCTCATAAAAGTTAATGTACTTTTTTAAAATGTTAGAATTATTTTCTCTTCATTTCTTCCTTTTTTTAAATTTTAAAAAATTTTTTGACAGGCAGAACCAGACCGTGAGAGAGACAGACAGAGAGAAAGGTCTTCCTTCCGTTGGTTCACCCCCCAAGTGGCCGCCACAGTCGGCACACTGCGCCGATCCAAAGCCAGGAGCCAGGTGCTTCCTCCTGGTCTCCCATGTGGGTGCAGGGCCCAAGCACTTGGGCCATCCTCCACTGCCTTTCTGGGGCACAGCAGAGAGCTGGCCTGGAAGAGGAGCAACCGGGACAGAATCCGGCGCCCCAACCAGGACTAGAACCTGGGATGTCGGCGCCGCAGGCAGAGGATTAGCCCAGTGAGCCGTGGCGCCGGCCCATTTCTGCCTTTTAAAAATGTTTATCTGTGAGGCAGAGACAGAGACAGAGAGAGCTCCCATCTGTTGG